ACATCGTTCTATCCAAAGTTAAAGAGATGATTGACAATCAGTGAGTTTGGGACTGTTGACTTCTTCGACAAATGTGAATAGGGCCTTCTGTACTTCACTTAGAAAATTCGCTTCCCGATAACCAGTTTTTGTTTCGTTCCATATAAATGCAGTCCCATTTGTCATGCTTCTAGTTCGGAAAATACATCAGTCGACCAAACCAATTGGTCAAGGCATATCATGCTGAGCAGACGGTTCGTTCGTTGAACGGAGCTCGAAACAGAGTCGAATAAATTGCACCACGCAAACGAAACATATTTTCATATGTCTTAGACTACTCATACTCACTAAATACATGCAGGAAGTTGCTCGTTATGTGACACTAGATTCAAGTATTCATTCCTAGCATACGTTCATACGGAAATGCAAACCGTGAGGTTTAGGAACAATTGATAAGTCGTGAGGGCTGCTAATCGTAAGTGATCTTTTAAATCTAGGTTTTTCAATCTCCAGTCAATTTTGAGTGTGGATTTACAATAGAATGATCACGTGATAAATTTATGCTGGATTATGTATGATCATCCTTGTGTAAGTTCGTGGATGATTTGTGGTCAGTGGACGAGCCGACTGACTTCAGACGATGAGGAAAATCTGTGACCAGTACAGATCTACATACCATCCTTATACCAGGTGGTCAAATGTGTTGGGGAAGAGAATGTCCATGAACTTACTATAACTGATGTGAAGACTGTTTGAGCGCGTATGTCTACAGGCACGTGTCCACCAATATATTTTCGGGCTGTGGCATTCGATTGCAGGTCCTCAGTTTCCTAAGACAAAAACGTGAGGTGAGGGAATTCCCTTTCTGAGACGTGCTCGTACCTAGAATCTGCTTTAGTAGTTACGGCCGGATTGCATTATATATGCAATATCTAGAAGTTGTTGATATATATTCTACTTACAATCAAAACAGGAGGAAGTAAGTGTTCTGCATGACAACTTCTATTTCGAAGGTGTTTGTTAATTCAGTTGATGGTATCTGAAAACTTTTCTGGCGCCCGGCTGGCATTGACACAGACTGGGAATCGGGTCAGTTTAATCTGTTTATTAGTGTGGGTAACAGAAATAAGGATTCGCCCATTGTTATGATTTTTCTTATTACGACCCGGCTACTCTTATCGCTAAGTATTCCTGGACACTACTTCAATTGACAAATCCCCAAATTACAGCACGATTGAACTGGAACGTAATTATATTCCAAATAAAAATGGTTAGGTGGAAGTAAGTATCACAATAAGAAACCAGATAGTATACTTATGATTTTCTATAGGAAGATCACAGTCGTATTTAAATATCCGCTAGAGCTGATTGAATGATAAAAAAGGCCAACTGACGTGTCCCAACACAGTCCTGTACTGAAAATGTCTTAATCCAATCTAGATTTCGCTAAAACCTATCAAGGACAGAAACGTTCTATATGAACTTTGCTCTGCCTGAAATCACAGTCCGAAAGAGCCAACATAATCTTATTCTGCCTTCACGCTTGCCGTGCTTTCATTAAAAAAGTAAAAGCCTGCAGACTGATAACGTGGTACTCAAGCCAGTAAAAGTATTTTAGGGGTAAATCTTTGTTATTTAGTGGAAGCGGAGATTGTTGGACGACCTGATTTAACATCTGGGCTACCTTTGCTGTCATCTAGATATTTCAACAAATCATATGCTGTATTTGTTTTAATATATCACCTAGTTGTTGCACAGTGAGAATGTTTCCGCGCACATGTTACATGTTGTCGAAGATTTTTGATATCGTTATTTATCGGGTACTAACAGCATTTTCTCGGTCTCACATGAAGTTTCGTAATGTTTATGTTCGTTACATGGTGACGAGACTATAATTTATGGACGACCTTCGAGCGACGATAAAGTGACCTTGAGAACGGATAGCTATGAACCAGTTAGAATCATGATATACGGTTGGTGGTTATTAAAAACTAGATTTAAGGTTTTCGTCACGAAATGACATCAGCTGTAATGCCAAAACTCTATTTAGTAAGAGCAAGAATTTGATGTAGTAAGATTCAGAATGAGTTATAACCTAACACGTGGTGCAGATTTGTAGCTCAGGTACATGATTTTGATGGAGTTTTTCATATGAGCTGGTTGGTTTAGTCATAGAGCTTTCATCGTTATTCCGAACGACAGCATCAGAACAAACATCAGGTAGGTGTGACTGCATCAAAGTCTAACGCGTATTGAACGTCGAAAACCAGATGCATTATAAGTTTATGTACGCATGTATGATAATTAGAAGTATTTGAGTCATTATAGGAACTAGGAATTCCCAAAATAGCATAATTTAAGCCAGACGCAAGTAGGTGAGTACAAATGAACGTATTGTATTCAGAATTCGAAATCAGGCACACATCAAGTACTATAGAATCATTAGTTCATATAACTACAGCATATTCCTTCCTTCACATAGTTTTTCCTTTAATGCTGATTCACTTTGATGCATATATATGTACTACTTGCAACGTATTCATATCCCTTTGAAAGAGAAGCTTTGCAAAGATGTCGTTGGTCTCCAGAAGTAAACGTTTGTAGGTATTTACTGGTGCCAGAATGAGTTAGAAAGTTAGCATGCCCAGTTGCCTTCGAAAGAAGCAAAGACTACATAGACATGTCTCAGAGGATTAGTGGCTGTAAATAAAATAGTTGGCCTATGGCATGACTGCAGCTCAAGATAATACCGTTTGGTGTTATAGAAGACTGAATATAATATTATTGTTTTGAGCTTGTAGTGTAGCGTCGAGTCGCGGTTGACTAGGATCACAACTACAGGAAGACTACGTGCCAGTTAACCGATAAGATCTCCCGTAAGCCAAATATCAGAAGGCAGTTGATGTCTGTAGTCGAGATGTATTTGTTGGCGATCTCGTGGTAACGAAAGAATACCGAGATCGTGCCAGATTACAAGTGTGGTTACTGAGTGCAACCGAATTCGTGCAAGGTCACAATCATTGGAAGGAAGAATGTCTTTAGTACAGTTAAACAAACAAGTACAGTAAAACAATCCGTGGTACAATTGGTCATAATAATAATTGATTCCATTAAACCAATCACGTTCTCTTGATAAAAGTAGGTCACTACAAGCTTAAATTTCCACTAGTCCTAGGGTTTTTTTGGGACCACATATTATAGCATCCTACAAGGGTGTTAGAACACTGTTCCATAGTTTCGTTTGCAAAGTTAGAAAGAATGTGTAGTTTATTACACATCCGTTTATGCAATATGTTCTCCTCCTTAAAGGTGGGTGGTAAAAATTGGTAATGTAGTGTGTATTAAGAAAAACACTTCAGTTTGCAGCACGAAAGGGAAAAATATAACCACCAAACAAATCATCCCACTTTTATCCGAAGATATTCTTTATTTTTTCGAAGCGATGACATCCCGCTGATTGTGATATTTGACGTTAGAAAGAACTGAAAGCTTAGAGTTCGAGATACACCACTTCGCAACAATCACTCACTTGCTTTCTGGAATTCAGTAGTTTCCAAACGAAGTTGATTGATACAAAAATATTTTTAAACACTGAATTCACCTTTATTTCATTTCCTTCTATGTGTTTATGTGATACTACCTACTATTAGTAAGTAGTTTCACTTATATGAAATCATTTACGTGTATTGGACATTGGATGATAATGCTGAGAAACGATCACTTTGATTACACATTCTCTGTTCAAGTTATTCATTTGCTGCATTTCATTTTCATATCCGTTTACTCAAGAGATATGCATCAATACATGGACTTTGTGAATAGTTATGAGATGACTGTAGTACATCATAATGTCATCATTTATCGATTAGCAATCTATTTATGCATTCTCTTAAGAATTCGAGAGAATGCACAATGAATCTGAAAATTGTCTTTTAAAACAGTAGTTTATATGATTGTCTATGACTATGTATTGCTTTGTATGCAATGCTATGAACTGTGGTTGAATGGAGATTAACCCATAAAGGACGAATATGAGAAGAGGAAATCACTAGCAATTAATACTTTTATTTGCTTGGAATTTGATTGACTAGCTAAAACGGTTGGAAGTGGTGCTTCCGGATCCTAAACACCATGTGAAGATAAACTCAAATGAAAGACGAAATAAGTCGGAACTACAAATATGAAGCAGTGATTAGATGCATATTACATATGTATAGTGTGTGTTACAAAAATGGTCCATTCAACTAGTTAAGTTGAGTAAAATGTATATGATCAATATAAAATGTTGACTATCGATAGAACTAGTTACTTAAGTGATTATTTAACATCATAGAAGGAAATACCTAAAATCGTTTTTGTGGTTATCCATTCAAAGTTATCTTTTTATGTAATACTATGTAATATGCTCTGGAACAGGTATGAAGTTTCTTGGTTCACATCTTGACAAGTTCATGTATCGACAGTCCTGAAGTGGTTCCATACTAAAACGAAACAGTTTTTCAATAATATCTGGTATTCAATGATTCCCAACTCTCAAACTTAAGTCAACCAGTGACATATACTACTACTACTAGTAGTTACTTAGATTATCATTTATTACTATCGAAAAAAGTACCTAAAATTAATTTTTATCATTATACAATCAAAGTAATCACTTTTTTTAAAAAAAAGATATATAATACCAAATATTATTACTATCGTCCATATTAAGAACAAACATTCATATTGAATTATATTGGTTAAGTAAAGGCACTTAATAAATAATCAATCAATTCACCAATCAAATGTATAAATTGATTAATGAACTCTATTTGATTGGTCATGTGAACTAAACCCATTTCTGGTTGGTTTTTTCTTCATTTCTTTTTTTCTTTCTTTATTTATCTCATTATATTCATTTTGTCAACTACATATAAAGTAGTGGATTCATATTCAAACAGCACCATCGACAACAACTACAATCATAACAACGGCAATTATTATTATTATTATTATTATTATTATTGAATGTATTATAAAATATGCATAAATTATATCCATGGTTTATATTAATAAGTGCTGCATTATCTGTCATATTTTTAGGTGGTAAACGTAGAGCATTTGGTATATTTATAGCAAAATTACATTCAGAATATAATAGCACAACATTAGTTGAATTAAATTGGATTGGTGATTCATATTCAGCATTAGGTTATTTAACAACATCTATAACAACATCAATGATTTTATATACAAATAAAAAATATGGTATAACACAATTTTTTGGTGCATTTTTTATATTATTAGCATGTATAACTAGTTCATTTGTATTAAATCCACATTGGTTATTTATAACCCATACAATATTACATGGTATTGGTTCATCATTTATATTAAGTACATGTAGTTTAATAGTAAATGATTATTTTTATAAAAATCATCCATATCATATCTTAGCAACAACATTAGTATCTGGGGGTTCAGTTGCATCTATATTATTTATTGAATTTTATGCTTATTTAATTGATTTATATAATTGGAGATTAACATTTATTATACTTGGTATTATTTATTTTATTATATTATTTATTACTTCTATTATATTTTATAAAAAGAATACTTTAATATCTCACGTATATAAAAGTAACCCTTCTAATGATCATCATCAATGGAATCTATGGAATATATGTTGGAATTTATATTGGCAACAAAAATTATTATTGTTACTATGGTTTATGGATAGAATCATTACAAGTATTGTTACATATGGTATGTTATTAAATTTAACTGATTATGTTTATCAACATGAAACATTATTACAAAATAGTATTCTATTAACTAATTTATTTGCATCCGGTGAAGCAACTACTTATATTATTGGTGCTTTATTAACTGGTTATACTAAAAATTTATTAAAAAATCAATTAAAATATATTTTAATACTATCCAGTATATGTATGTCTATTGGATTAATATTATGGGAATATTTTGCATGGAATTCTATCATTAGTATTATATTATCATATATGAATGGATTTTTTTTAGGACCATCTATAACATTTTTATATCCGGTTAGTGAAGAAATGACATTATTACCTGGTTATATATCTTATTCATTATCATTAAGTGGTATGGGTATTGGTATGTTATTATCCCCATTATTATCAGCATTTATTGCTGAAACATTTCAATATCATTGGTTTTTTTTAATACAAGGTATTATTGTGATTATTAAATCGATATGTTTATTATGTTCATGGAGATTAATTAAACATTTAATACAATTTAATAAACATTTATTATATCATAAACAACATGATCCTGATGATCATGATGATGATGATGATGAGGAGGAGGAGGAGGAGGGGGATGAAGGAGAACAAAAACAACAACAACGACGACGAAAACAACAACATCAAGAAGATGAACTAGAAGATCAATCTTTAACATTCAATAGTGAAACACAATGTTTAATCAGTCCAATGATAAAAAAACAATCGAATTCAAAAATGATTTAATTTCTTTCTACTTTTTTTTTCTTCTCATTCTTCTACTCATCTATTTTGTTTTATCTTATTATTTCTTTTTCTTTTTTTCGAATGTTGTTGTTGGTAATTTGATATCTTGATAAAATATACTACTGATTATCGGTAAGTTATATTGAATATTTAAATAGAGTTTGTTTTTTTTCTTGAAATAGAATTATAACATTTATCATTCAAGTAAAGACCTGTTCATGTTACATTCTAATTTGTATAATACATTTATAACTTTAAGTGCCTCCAAATGCCCTGGTATGGCCGAGAATGGGGTGGGCCCACCCTCTCTCTCGAAATGCTCTCATACGGCCACGCGTATATAGCCTCTGGCAGGTGAGTTCTACTCATTACCTTCTAGAGGCATTACTGTTGTTTAAGAAATTGAGAGGACGAGAAGCGAATGTCCGGCGCTTTAATCGGATTCCAAACCAATGGTGCACATGGGCTCCAGTATCCTGCGGGAACAAATGGCATATGAACCAATCGTTGGTCACCGGCTACCATAGGACTGCATCTCCTTACGATGCTCCACTGCCTTGTGGATCAGACCTTCAGGTCAAAGGCTCGAGGAGTAGCCCCCTAAGAAAACCACTTGCTTCGGCCTGAGCACCCATGCAGTATCACAGCCCAAACACACACAAATATGGTGTGGCGCATATATATTTGGTGCCCTCTTGTACCAATATTTATGTGTTGAAATAAAATAAATAATAATAACTTTAATTCAGTATAGGGGTTGTGGAGATTATTAAGTTTTTTTATTGAAATCATGAACATGTGCTCACTAGTGACCAGCTTCCTGAGGGAATTCTCGGAGTACTAGTGAAAAGCTGTGACCAGTGGAGCTAATCCGTGTCGGATGGAGACAGTTATCTACCTCATACAATGGATTGGTTGAGGTTAGACACCATTGGATGCCGACTCAGTGGTCCAGTAGATTAAGCTTTCGCGCGCGAGACTGAAGGCCCTGGGTTCGGATCTCGCGAGCGGGATCGTGGATATGCACTACTGACGAGTCCCACAATAGGACTAAACGGCTGTCCAATGCTTCCAGCTTTCCAACTGTGGTCTAACATCAATTGGTTCATAGTTTCAATCAAAAAAATATAAATTTAAGTGTTTAATTTGTGCTCGATCTTTGAGCAACGCTGAAATGAACTTGAGAATGAACACCTACTGATTAGGACTAAATGTGAGTTGTAAAACATTTAGAATTCTCATTTACAGTTGATAGTTAAGTTTAGGAATTAGATTTACGGTTTTCATCACAAACTTATATCAGCTATAATGTCAAAATTCTATTTAACCAAATGTATAGATAAAATTCGCGCCAAAATTCGTGACTGGTTATCTTATATCTGATTGGTTCGTCCATAAATTATAGTCTTGCCCTGGAAAGGTGATCAGAATGAAATCTCATAAAAATATAACCGTACTAATGTTTAAACCATTTGGAATAGTTTTTCTATTCTATTTAATACATATACATACTGGTACAACTAGTCACCGAATTAAGTATACTCCATACATATAGAGGAGAGAAGGGACGTTATGTAAATAACGAATCAAAAGATAAGAAATGGTAATTTATAATGAGAGATATAATTCAGATAAAAATACACTTATGAAAAACTTTCTTCAGATCATGTAGTTTCTCTTACTTTGATGAGGAATGTAAAAAAAAAACTTTTGAAAGATCTCGATTGTCTTTTGACTGTAGTCATGTTTGTAAACGTCTCAAGTAATTGAACGTCACCATTTCTAGGACATTAATCAAGGAGTTGTGATACACTGACAGTTACCACAATACTATATCATAAATTAACTATGTCTATAATCAGTTTAAGCGTTAGGAAATAAAGTACAATTTGGAAAGCTTTAAGATAACATTTTTAAATCATATCCAAACCATCGAAATGATTGTACCCATATCACACAACAGAAGTACAACTAAAGAGTTCATAAACGTCAAAGTTTAATTATAAGCAGCAATCAATAATAAACACTACATAATCTATAATTATTTCATGTTTATATTCAATAATAAGTGTAAACTTAAATATTTCAGTGTGTTTCACTCAATATATCACTCAGAAAACTTACTATTTAATGTTTATAGTTGTGGGCAATTCATCACAAATCGGAGAAATGAGGTTCAATTTTACCTCTAAATTGTAATCACCATCATGTAACAGTAACCTACAATGTTTGTCAGGCTTCATTTGATGAATAGTTTTCGTCTAACATGTATTTATTCATTAATATGTCACATAAATTATAAACTCATGGATGCGCACTGCTGAGGAGTCCCATACTAGGACGAAACAGCCGTCAAGTGCTTCCAGGTTTCCAACGGTGGTCTAACATCAATTAATTCATGATCTCAAGCAAAAAAACTTAACAATCTCCACAACCCCCATACTGTAAACTTGTAACTATTAAATCTATGAACTAATCATTCTGCTACACTACACTAACTGTTTATTGTTTGATAATGGATTAAAACATTCTTGTCTGACACTGATATGCACACCTTGTATACATGAGATCGACCTGTTACTTGAATGAGAAGACAAGAAGTGAATTCAAACAATTCAGACAGAATTCGTAACCGGTAGGGTTTAAATTTCTGGAAAATGCTGGTGAGCGGCCTATGCTTCTTCACGAGGAGTAACAGGCGTTAGTAAGTAAGTAAGTAAGTAAGGGTTTAAATGTATTAGAAATAATGTGATTTATCCATATTGAAATTCAGTCGAAAACATAAACTATAGAATGATAGCTACATAGTCTAAAACAATGTTATCGTTGAATATTCTATAGATTCCGAATTCAATTACTTTGGAGATTATAAATACCTATTACTGTAAACTGTCCAATCATAACGAAACGGCTTATTATAGTGGACTCATTTTCAATGATGTTTTTGGTACTATCAATCTGTGTTATCATTAATTAGATAGTCAATTTCACTTATCTAACATGTTTAATAAAAGTGTATACATCTAAAACTAGTTGAGCATTGGTAAAAGCTTAACTTTATGACATTCAATCTTTATGCTAATCTTTAGGTTAACTAACTATAAAGTAATCAAAAAAAAAAGGGATTAGAAATATAAAACTATCCAAATGACAAATTAGACAATATTATCCTTCATTGTTTGTCAGGAATAGAAAGAATAAGAGATCAAATAAATCCTTCAATTGTAAGTACTTCTCTAATGATTATACAACAACAACAAAAAAAGGAAATCAATGATAAAATCAGATCTCTCAATTCTGTATTATTATGTAACTAACATACATATGAACTATAAAATGACAGTAGGGGTAAGCTAAGTAATCAAAATGTTTGATGTTAAACAGTTTTGACATAAGTGTATAAGTCTTATTAACAATATTCATTATAGATAATAACCTACTTGATGTGTATTTGACTATTGATTTCAATTTTTACATATGATTAAAGTAAGGGGGTTTTTATTCAAACATTAAAAGAAATCGTCTTCAACTAGTTGTCAACGATTTTCAATAATCCTTTAATGAATGTCAGTTCATTGTGTTATAAGTTAATTTGAACATGGATCAACATGTAAAAATCACAAAACTTGACAAAAATGATATACACACCAATAATCGATGTGTTTAAGGTAGTTTATCATTATTGTTGTCATGAAGGGTTGTAACTGATAGAGTCCTCTCATGTGCATTGTGATGGAATTGAATGGTGTATGAAATGTCCTAAAGGAAGTATGCTTAGTATGAAACCTGTATGTATTGAATGTGAACTATTAGATTTTTCTTGTGTCTTTTGAACCAGCGTTACCTAAGCTAACATCTGAGATGTTACCACTAAACTATTCGGATTAGGAATAACCTGATGTAGGAGATCATGTCACAACATTGATCATCATTCAATGAATAGTTAGTCGTGAAAGTACTGGAATAAAATCACTGTCTAGTAGTTCTTAAATCAAAATTGTTCTCCTGTTGGTATCAGTTTATGATGAAAACAATATGAGAATGAGATATTGCACACATTTTGCTGTAATTACAATATCCATTTTTATATATTATCATTATTACTACTATTACTACTTAAGTAGTAAACAGTACTCTCTTCAAAAATACACATGCAAAATAAATGTATTCGTATTTGACGTGTTATTATCAGTTGGCTGATATAAATCAATGTACATTGAATAAATGTTGCTTAATTCCCTTCTATCCATATGTGAATAGAATCACAAAATTGATATCATTCAGTGATATGATTAAGTATAAACTTGTATAGTAAACTATACATTATATTTTTGGTTCATGTTTCCAAGGATAATGATGAATAGTGGAATACAATGTTTACTTTTTATCTTATTTACGTTTCTTTAGTTGATAGATACATTTGTATTCTAGTGTTGATATTCTCACTAAGCACCAATCCAAGTACCTAACTGTTCAATCGTTAATGCATTATCAACTAAGTAATAATAAATATCAGATTGTTGAACAAATATGACATTTTACTACTACTATTATTATTATTGCTGGCAATTAACATATTCTCGTTTATTGTAATGAAATTAATAGAATCGAAAAGTTTCAAAAAAGAGGAAAATATGTACCTTGAGTTTCACTGGTTCCCGGTTCTTCAACAGCGTTACTGAAATTGTAGTTAGCGGAATCCAGTTATCATATACAAATGTTGATAAATCATTACACTGAAAAGAACTCCCAAGATTATAGTTCTGCAGGAAAACATAATAAAATGTTTACATGATATTTCTATAAAACATTACTCATTTTATATCACATAATAACTAAATATGCAATAGTAGTCCGTTATAGTTAAAGTGGAATATAACGCATATGTGTACCGGTCAATATCACTACGTTTAATCGGCAACCTACTTACGTACGCCTGTTAATCCTCATGGAGGAGCATAGGCCATACACCAGCACTCATCATCCAACCCTGTCATGGG